CCAATATTCGCACCTTGCTCAATGCCTGATCCGTAAACAAAGACACTGATTTCTTGTTTTTATTCTTCTTTAAACAGTTATGAGGCCTTGTGATATCCAGAGATTCCGAAATAATGTTTGACATTTCTAAAATCTTAAGAAAAATGAAGCATTTACCCTTAATAACATACAGGCTGAAGCGTTTATTTTTGACTGGTTTAAATTAAACCAAGAGGAGTAAAAGAAAACAAAATTGCTTATCTTATACTGACCAGAAACCCTTCCTACCAGCCACTTATTAGCAAGAAAAAGAGAAGAACTTAATTATCAAATCTTATTTGGATAAGTGAGATTGTCTTCTAAAGCTTGGGCTTGCAGGGAATTGATAATAAAAGAATTTCTTGATGTAAAGTTTTGTAACCCCTAGCTAGGGATTTCTAAAGTCTTTTCCGTTTCTCTTGTAACTTCTTTTTAAATTTAATTTTTAGCGGGGAGTGGGGAACCTAGAAAGTACAAAAGGGTATTTTTAGAATAGTCTCTGTACAATTCTTTAAAACTCTTTGATTTTTCATTCTACCTGATGACAGCTGCCATTCACCCTCAAGTCGGCCACCAGCCACCAGTCCTGAGGTTTTTTTTTTTCCCTTGTTTATGCTTTGGCTTCACAGATATGATTGACAGTCTGCTGTCCCCAGATCTTATTGATGGTGTGCTCACCAGACTGGTCCTCGTCAATGCAGTGTATTTCAAGGGTCTGTGGAAATCACGATTCCAACCTGAGAACACAAAGAAACGCACTTTCGTGGCAGCCGACGGGAAATCCTATCAAGTGCCGATGCTCGCCCAGCTCTCCGTGTTCCGGTGTGGTGAGTTCACGCTCCGTGAGGCCTGTTCTAGGATGCGCTGGAGGCAGCAAGGCCCTCGAGTGCTTTAACTTAACTCAAGAGCAAATCTAACTTTTTGTCTTTTAAAAAAGTTGGGAACAGAGCAAGGTGCTGAGAGGCAGGATTTTTATAAAGCTCATATAAATCTGTGTTATGTACGAAGGTTATTATGCATAGCATAATATATATAACATGCATATGTTATGTACAAAGGTATTAACGCATGGCATGTGTAGGTTTTTTGGTTGAAAAAGATGAAAGGGCAAGTCATGAAATAAGTGTAAGTGAGCACATTAAACATAGAAAGCAGCAGCAACTCATTAGTCTTACATTACCAAATGAAAAACTGGATTTCTTTTTTACTTAGCAGATTGGTGAAAATTAGAAAGATTAATAAAAATCCCTGGGTGGTGCTGGTGGGGAGGAAGCAGGACTCCTGGGCACACTGGTGGTGGGATCTGTGGGCTGAGGACTTCCTCGGGGTCCTGGCTCCGGCAGTCCCGCTCCAGGGAATTTATCCTCTGAACATAAGCGCATACTGACAAACAAATAGAAGCCAAATGCAAATACACAGTGGAACATATGTGATCATGAGACTTAGATTTATATAAGTGGAAAGATGATGCAATATATGGTTGATTGCCGAAAACGAGATATAGAAGAGCAGATGTCAATCAATCTCGCTTATGTAAAATCCTTTCCTTATATTCACACGTCTATAGAGCTAGGTCTCAGAGGATGTTCAGTAAAAATGTTAATGGTAGGATTTCAGAAAAATTATTCCTGAATTTGAAAAAAAAATTTTTTTTGAGATAGGGTCTCACTGTGTTTCACACACACGGCTCACTGCAGCCTCGACCTCTTGGACTCTAGCAATCCTCCCACCACAGACTCTCATGCAGCTGGGACCACAGGCACGCACCACCATGCCCAGCCAATTTTTTTATTTTTTGTAGAAATGGGCCTGCCATGTTGCCCAGGCTGGTCTTGAACACCTGGGCCTAAGTGATCCACCTGCCTTGGCCTCTCTAAGTGCTGGGATTACAGGCATGAGCCACCGTGCCAGGCTCAAATGAACTTCTAAAATCGCTTTGCTTGGGATACGAGCAGGTGGCTGTGCTAGCGTTTCAATGAAGTGATTTTATTTTAGGTCAATCCTTGGTACACACTTTAGAGTCCATACAAAAATAAAATAAGTCGGGGGCCCTCATTTACTGTATGTTTCTCTTACTGAAAAAAAAATTAAAAATATTTCAAGATTAACATGCAAGGATTCCATTAACATTCCTATGGAAGATTTAAAAATGTTTGTTTTCACAGAAATGTAACATGCATTTCTCGAGTAGATAGGCTAGTCCCAGAGAGATACAGGTCATGGTGGCTTTTCATTTAGAAGCTGATTTGCCTAGGAATCTACGTGTGTGTTTCACAGAAAATATACACATACATTCTTATTGCCAAAGATATAAACCCTACAGAACCCCCACAGTGTGTTGGTATCTTCCCTCCACTTTCCCTGATTCATGCCTCCCTCCTTCACCTGCTGCCACCCTGCTCTGGGTCCCCTTGCCCTCTGGCTTCTTGCTGGGCTGGCTGGTGGGAGCTGGCAGAGGAGAAAGGGGTCAGGCCATTAACCACCCAGGCTTCTCCTTACAGAGTCATGGGCCAGCTGCATTCCTCTCCCAAAGGTTTCAGCTTCTGCCAGGGGATGTGCCCAAGAGTTCCATCTCTCCAAGTCACCACCCCCCTCTTCCTCCCTCCCAGCCCAAGGCTAGTCATGGTGCCCACTGTTTATCGTCCAGAGGACTGTCTGTAACATTTCTCTGTATCCTATCCATGCTTTACATGTGGTCCTTCATCAAATTCTGTTAAATGGCCCAATTGGACTCTTAGCTGTTGACTTTCCACCCTGACTGATCTGTACCTAATTCAGAACAGAAGAAGAAAGTCCCCTGCTCACTACTGTTCTCGTTTCCTCACAAGTAAACACAGTGAACGGCTTCTCACCCTTCTCACCCTCCTTTCCGTGTTGTCATGAGGTTTCACTGAGGAACTTGACTTGGACACAACTCTTCTGGGCCATGCAGCAGAGGCTAGGAGTGTCAGCAGTTCCCTGCTTTCTTGCTGTGTCCAAAATCCAGCTTACTATGATAAGACAGGGAAGGTTCGTCTTGATAGGGCTGTGAAGAAAGTACCGCAGTCTGTGGTGGCCCCAAGTGGCTGTTCACTTCCGCGTGCACAGACCGCCGGTCGTTTTCTGTCTGTTTCCTCACTCTGACCTACAGGAACAGCCTGGCCCTGGCTGCCCTGCCCAAATTCACAGGGCCAGGGTGCCACGTATCAGATGCTTCCTAGGCCTAAGCCACGCCTCACCCTTCTAAGTCACTTTGCCAAAACATTGTCATTCCGTTTATCTGCCTTCTTGACTGTTTTCCCCAAGATATCACGAAGAGCTCTGAGAATATTTGCTTGATAACTAACGAAAGGAGAGTGAAAAATAGAAAGAGAAGAAGGAAACCGTTCTGATTTATGCCCCATAAAGTGGAAGCACTTCAAGGATAGAAACTTTTCTATTAAGAAAAAAAAAAAGCTTCAAAATCATTTTTAGTAGAATTATATTTCATGCTCATTGCAAAATCCTTCGTATACCTCAATATACAATATATATGGCAGAAAGTAAAAGTTTCCCTAAAATCCTATTTCCTAAGATAAAAATCCCTATTAAGTATCAAGTATATCATTTGAGAACCTTTCTAGGGATATGTAAAATATGTCTATGAAACTTTTTACATACATAGGATTGTACTGTAATTTTTATTCTACAATCTGCTTTATTCATTAGACAGTGGGCAACTTTTAGTGCCAGTTCATAAGGATTTACTTGATTCTTTTATCAGCTACCTAATATTCCATGATACAAGTATCTTGATATCCTGTGGAAGGCCATCTGCTTTTTTCCTATAATTACACTGCAGTGAGTATTCTTGTACATAAATCTTTAAATACTTGCATCAGTATTTCTAAAGGTAATTTCCTAGAATAGGAATCCCCAAGTCATAGTTGTTACAAATTGTTTATGGTTATAAATTTAGACATTTTAGACTATATTTTGGGGAAAAAAACACAAAGAATGACAAATTTATATTTCCCGCTTCTTTTCTCCTGAGTTTCCAACTCATACCTGTCTGTTCACGTCACATCTTAACTTGGTCACCTACTAAGTTCTAGCTGCACGGATGAAACTCATTTACGCCAGGCGCTGTGGCACACACCTGTAACCCCAGGACTTTGGGAAGCTGAGGCAGGAGGATCGCTTGAACCCAGGAGTTCAAGATGAGCTTCAGATCATAGCAAGGCCCTGTCTCTACAAAAAAAATTTTTTAATTAGCCAGGCATGGTGGTGCTCACCTGTGGTCCCAGCTGTTCAGGAGTCTGAGGTGGGAGGATCACTTGAGCCCAGGATGCTGAGGCTGCAGTGAGCCCTGATCACATCACCGCTTTCCAGCCTGGGGAACAGAGCAAGACCCTGTCTCAGTAAATAAATATGTGTATTGACTTTGCCCATTTAGTTCTCAACCCATGGTTCCTTAGCAGCAAATGGCACCAATACTCACCCAGTTGCTTAAGCCACCCCTCCTTCCCCAGCTACTCTCCCCGAATTCCCTTTGGACTGCAGCCTAGAATGTAGAGTACTGCACACGGTGGAGCATTTTGCTGTTGTTTTTCCAAAAAATATCCATTTCAGTTTCTACAAAAGTACAGTCTAAAAAGCTTCTTAAGTTTTCAGGAAATCGTATTTACTTGTAGTAGAAGGTAATTCGAGGGACTTTCATCTATAAAGCTTTCCTCTTATTAAATATTTAAGATACCCTCTTTGATTTTACAGGCTGAGTTCTTAACATTTCAGTGAGCCTAGTTACGTCTTCCCTAGTAGCACGTAAAGTGGAAATCAGATTACTTCAGGGGCTTTCTGGAAAAACTGGGTCACCCAAAAGCACCACTTAGAGAAAATTCTAGACTCCTCTACATTTTCAATACTTGATTGTTCACTTATTATCCCCGAATAGAAGTTTTGCTGACCACCATTTATCTAAGAGAAAATCCTTATTTTCTCTTTTTCATCTTCGCTCCTTTTCAGAATAAATCAACCTATTATACTTATGTTTTTATACACTGCAGAAATGATCCTTAGTAAAGAATACTCAGTCTGCCTTCCAGAGGTTAAAGAATAGAGAACCTTGGGTAGGGCTTTTTTTTTTTTTTTTTTTTTTGAGACGGAGTTTCGCTCTTGTTACCCAGGCTGGAGTGCAATGGCGCGATCTCGGCTCACCGCAACCTCTGCCTCCTGGGTTCAGGCAATTCTCCTGCCTCAGCCTCCTGAGTAGCTGGGATTACAGGCACACGCCACCATGCCCAGCTAATTTTTGTATTTTTAGTGGAGACGGGGCTTCACCATGTTGACCAGGATGGTCTCGATCTCTTGACCTCGTGATCCACCCGCCTCGGCCTCCCAAAGTGCTGGGATTACAGGCGTGAGCCACCACGCCCGGCCGGGTAGGGCATTTTAAAGGGAAAAAGCTCTGGGACAACGAGAGGCTCCATGCTCTGACACAAGCGTCCCAAATCCTCTTCCTTACTTGATTCATTCTGCTCAGGAGTTGTGCTCCAGTGCAACAGGTATGGTTTACCCTGGGTGAGCCGATTTTGTGTTTAGACTGTGAGCAGGGATCTCACATGCAAGAAGTGAGGTATTTTACAGAGCTTCTTACATCAATAGATGGCAGTTTTTGCTGTGGGCCAGCTTGTGCTGAGCACTTTGTATGTGTTGTCTCATTGAATTTTCCTAGCTCTGCAAAGCAGGTGCTGTTAGTATAACTTTTTACAGAAAAAGAAACTAAGATTTGGAGTCAAGGGACTTGCCTAAATCTCAGAGCTAATGTGCTACAGGTGCAGGATTTGAATACAGGTCCTATAACCCCAGATCTCCTGTCCTTGGCCTTGGCACGTGTCCTCTGTAAAAGGATGCAGTGCTTGAGCGATCAGGTAGAAACGCAGAAAAGGTGTTATTTTATCTACCAGCTCCTCAAGGCGCTAAATAAAGGTAAGCATGGGTATGTCCGATACACTCTGGCCACCACTGCTCATCAGCTCCTGTGGTCAGAAGCAGAAGGAGTCAAGGGAATAATGGTTCATGGTTATTAATATTACCGATCAGCTAATAATGGATCCAGTCAAGAATGGATTAACTGGTGAACCTAGATGCTATCTGCCTTCCCTCATCAAACACATTCCAGCTCATAACTTTTCATTATTCCTTACTTCGATTCTTCTTACCAGAATAGTAAACATTTCTAGAAGCAGTTAACACCTCCAGGCCCTTATTTCATGCCCTGGAGCAATCCCTTATTAATCACTTCTCAAACTTCACAGTTTCTGAAAATTAGCTCTACCAGAGTGGGGACTAATGTTTTCTTCAAGGATTAAAGAGTTCATTAGGAAGTGATTTTTTTCTCATTTTCCCATTGATTTTTCAGTTTCTTCTGAGACCATTTTGTTATGCAGGCTAAGAGTAAAGATGAAGAATCCTTTCTTTCATTCTTAGGTTGCCCAAGACTAAAGCCAGGCTCAGGTGAGAGTTCAACGCCACATGAGAGCTAAAGCGGGCCGCACCTGGGTTACTGAACAGCTTCTGCAGGCAAATGCAGTGTGCTGGGACCAGGGGAGCCCCAGTACCTCTGTCAGTTGTCTGTGCTGTTTCTTCCTTAGGGAAAAACTGTAGCGTCATCCTGTAGTGCCATATGTTTTAATAACCGCACTATTTTTTATCATATTTCATAGCAAAAATTGTTCATCAAGTTCACTCTCTTTTCCTCCCTTGCTGTCTTTCTCTTCATCTCTCCCTCTGTCCATCCCTCCCAACCCCCTTCTATGGAGAATTGGCATATTGAAGTTCTCTGTCTCACAGGCAGTGATTGGCACATGCCATCTCCAAGGAAAAGATCAGTGAAAATCATGCAGGAAACTTGCTTGCTCTCTTCTTGCTTGCTAAACTCCCTAGAATGTAGGATCTGTTTTGTCTATAGCACATCTTGTAGGTAGACTGTTCTCCAAATAACATTTGAGAAATGCTGGCTTAAATTATTCTTGGGTTGTCATTAGTAAGCAAAAGTCCCATGAAATATCTAAAACCCCAATGGTAGTTGCTGGAATGGGTGAAGAGTGAATAGGGCAGGGTGGTGGAGTAGGAGGAAGACAGTCCTTGGCATTAGATTCTCCTGGCTCCCCACCTCTTAGCTGTGAATCCTTTGGCAGTTTACTTCATTTCTCTAAAGGTGGCTTCCTCTATTGCAAAATAGCACTGCTTATGCCTACCCTGTGAGGTGCTGTAGATTCCCAGTCATGGAAGGGTTGGGGTGAGCCTGGCACAGAGTGGGCCCAGTGGACGCTGTGTATCCCTCCCTCTCTTCACATGTACATGTAGGCTTATCCAAAACGAGGACTATAGGTAATAAAATTGCAGCGTGTTGGGATTCCTGCTCAATGAGTAAATTTTAGCTGCTTTTGTCCCCAAAACAGCAAAATGGGTAATTATGTGAGATAATGGATATGTCAGTTTGCTTTACCATAGTGCCCATTTTACTATCTATATGTATCCCATAATGTCATACTATGTACTGTAATATACACAACACGGTTTAGTTTAAAAAAAAAAAAACTAAATTAAAACAATAAGGAATGATTCTAAGGCAGCTTGAATTTGTTCTTTTATTCATGTAAGGGTCAACTTCTTGCAAAGCACTGAATTTTAAGTGCTTTATGATTTAGTTAAATTCTTCTCAACAGAATTAAAGTGATTTTAGTGATGCCCAAAGGCATTCTATCGAGGCTGAAGAAAGGAGAATTCTTCACCGGGGAAGGAAGAAATAACTGTCCTTATCTTTGTCCTTCTAAGGAAGCTATTTGTGGAAAAGGGAAGTTCTCCATCTGAGTTGCTCTCTGAAGCTACCCCGGTGACCAGCAAGCACTCAGGCCACTTCTAGAAGCCAGCAAGGATACACTGAACCTGCTTCTGATTTCTTTAGGGTCGACAAGCACCCCCAATGATTTATGGTACAACTTCATTGAACTGCCCTACCATGGGGAGAGCATCAGCATGCTGATTGCATTGCCGACCGAGAACTCCACTCCACTGTCAGCCATCATCCCACACATCAGCACCAAGACCATAGACAGCTGGATGAGCATCATGGTGCCCAAGAGGGTGCAGGTGATCCTGCCCAAGTAAGTGGCCCCTTCCCCTCAAAGAGAACAATGGCATTGTTCAACCAGCAGCTGTCGTGTGGGACGCCAGACAACATGAGGTGAAAATATGGCACATGATGAAGCCTGTTCTGTTTTGCAGAAATTTCATGGTGGGATTACAAGACCATGCTTTTCTAAACACTTTGATTTAATGCCTGTGCTTCTTGTATGGTAAGATATGGATCATAAGAAAGGAGAGAGGGCAACCTTGGTCTCTGAACCTCCACATGAGCACAGGCTCGCTGGAGTACTGCAGAGGCTTTTTAACATATCTTATTGTATTTAAAGACTGAAAAACACACGTGTGTCATCATAGAGTAAGGATCAAAGTACAGTGAAGTTTCATAAAGCTCCATGTGTTTTCATAAGAAGCTTCATCTTAATCATTTATGTATTTAGCTAGAGGTTCATGAAGACCAAGGCAGCCAGTTTTTCTATTATACCCTAAGAGTGAAACTGAGATGGAATTGGAACTGCTATGACTTGAAGCCATGGGAAAAGTAATCCCAAATCCTGTATGAATCTTCAGTTTCTAACAGGTCAGAGAATGCTCTGTCCAGAACTGTGAAGAAGCAATGAATGTTGTTCCCTTTGTATGAACTTCTCAACATTGCTGCCTTCCTACCATCCAGAGCTTTTAACAGCCTAGGTCTTGGTGGCAGTGGAGAGAGAGTTCTAATAGCTTTTGATTCTTTGGTCAGCAAGTTAAGTAATCAGAGTAAGACATTCACAACAAGTATTAGTAGTCCTCCCAAGATTTTTTTTTTCTTTTTGGTAAAATAAGCCTTCAAGTAGGCAGTGCTTGATATAAATAAATAAGATGGTGGCACCATAGGCCTTCATGGGCAAAGAACAGGTTCTTTAAATTATAGCCCCTCTGTGGGGAGAATCTGCTCACCTCTCCTTGGTGCTCTTCCACAGGATGACATCAAATCTGGTAAAACATCCGCTGATGATAGGTTTGTATGTATATAGCCCCAAGGCCAGGTAGGCCACAAATATTCAGGAAACCTATATTATACCCAAATATAATACCATGTCACCTATGCCTAATCTTTGCTCCTGTTTGAATAGTAAAATGCTTTCAGAATCCCAAAATGGGCCAGGCACGGTGGCTCATACCTGTAATCCCAACACTTTGG